GCATACATCAATTGCTCTCAGCAGCCACACAGTATCAGTGCGCCCTCATCGGCACACACAGTATCAGTGCGCCATCAACCACACAGTATCAGTGCGCCCTCAGCAGCCATACACAGTATCAGTGCGCCCTCATCAGCCACACACAGTATTAGTGCGCTCTCAGCAGCCACACAGTATCAGTGGGCCCTCATCAGCCACACACAGTATCAGTGCGCCCTCATCGGCACACACAGTATCAGTGCGCCCTCATCGGCACACACAGTATCAGTCTTCCCCACTCCTGGCTCACATGGGCGGTATGAGCAGGTGCACCCTCCTGCATGAACACCATGTCTGAGTGTCGTTTGTACATCTTCCGGCCAGTGAGAGGACCACTTCTTTTCCTTCTGCTCATGATGGGCACAAGTGTACGTTTTCCTGCAGATAGCATTGAACGTTTACTGTGGCACTATGTGAAGCTCATACAGCACAGATGCTGACATGGCACCCCACACCATGGTATGGGCACTCAACTTCACCTGCTCAGGAGGCCCTTTCTCAGGACTATCAGTATAGACCCAGTCATTTTGACTGGCATCTGGAGTCAAGCTGGCATACTTCCTGGCGAAAGACAGCCTCTTCCCTTTCTGGATCAGTCATGGTATTTTGGGTCTCTTGTATGCCCTCAAACCAATTTTCTGGGTCAAATATCGATGAATAATGCTCTTAAGAGCCTTTTTCGTCAATGTTTTTTAGTCTGCGACTCAATCGCCTGCATAACTGTCGCCTTCTGCCCTTGGCCTTCCTGATGATGTCCCTGGCTCTGGCAGTGAGCACACTGATCAGTGATTATCTTCAAGGCCTGCACCTTGCTTGTGACGCTTGGTCAACTTCAAAACCCATCGTACAGTCCTTCTCAAGGATGTGGCAACCTGCTCACAAGTTTTGCCCACACTATGAAGGGCAACAGCTTGGCACAGAAAGTCTGTGATTTTGACTTTACCCATGGTGTGGTCATGTGGGTATCTCTCAAGCCAGTGAGACATACTGATATATTCTGAACATTTTATGAAATCAGCCCACAAATATGATTCATATGGACAACCAGACACCAGATGACTGACCAGGTGGTGTTGGATGTGAGAATAATT